GGGGGGGGGGGGGGTAAAAAGCTTTTTCTTCCATGATGACAACCCCAAGCTGCTTGGGGAAGAGTCTTGGGGCGCCTGTACATTGTGTGAATTTCGGGTGGTTTTTGAGGAACTCGCACAGTGTGTGGTGCTGTCGGCACCCTTTCGCTCAGCATCCCTTGATCAGCCGATCGAAGGAGCCCAGTGGAAAATTTTCGAACGGTCAGAGCCAGCAGCCAATGAGCTGCCCGCTCTGGTCGGGTATTCTGAAAGGTGTCGGCAGCCGCTGTATGTGATCAGCGGGATTCCTCGATTGACACGCTGTTAGTGGTGATGGCGGTGTCTGGTCTAATTTTTTTTCGTTTAGCCCGTGGGTTGAACGAAAAAAATAGACCAGTGAATGGCCAGCCTTCGTCGCTACGCACATCTGTCCGGGCATAGAGGAGAGCGTGACGCATATTGGGCAGAGTTGTCTAAACGGTTTGTTCTCCGATGAAGCTTTGTCAGGGGCTTTAATGCATAACCTCATACATGGCACCTGATTCAACCCAAAATATTCATCTGTGTATTGGCACTTTTGCTGGGGTTGAGGGTTAATTTAGGGTTGAGGGTTAGGTTGAAGGGCGGTGGCTCACTTTTATTTGTAGAATTCTTTTCAGGGCTAACCCCTCCCCCCCACCCCCCATTCTACCCGGAGCCATCTAAACATATTGAACACTTATGGACCTCGCAGTCTGCAAGGTACCATTTGCCATACATAATAATATAAGAATGGCTTCTCGGTTGTAGTTCCTGTGCCGAGGCTACTAATATTTCCAAGGGATCTTTTTTTTTTTTTTTGTTGCTTAGCTGTTTGCTAAGTTGTTTTATAGTTCTGATGTCATTGTGCTTTTTTTTTATCTATACTGTATATAGGGAGTGTAAACTTTGCATGTGATTTTAATAGTGATGATATCATTGTGTCACAACGTCAGAGCTCTTTCAGGTTCTGCCGGCACTCTCTGGTCTCGTGACTCTTCATGAGTCATTCGGCTAAGCTGTCAATGGAGTTCGCGGGTGTGTCTGCGGTCCAAGCTCTCTATTGCAGGTTTTCCTGCTGATCAGCATTAGTCACCTGACCTGAGACTGGCATCCCCATAAGGACACAGTGCAGTATTTTTAGACTTATATCAGACGATTACTAAAAATAGTATGATGGTAACTTGTACTGAGATATACAGGGGCTGCCAATTCCGACACTGTCTCCAGCTTCGATACTGTCACTGACCAGGAACAAACATGCAGTAAGAGATGTTAGGGCCAGGAGGCGGCCTGTCCAACCCCAGGAGGCGGCCTGTCCAACCCCAGGAGGCGGCCTGTCCAACCCCAGGAGGCGGCCTGTCCAACCCCAGGAGGCGGCCTGTCAAATCCAGGAGCCAGCAGAATTTTTTTTTTTAGGAGCCAGCTCCATTGGCAACAACTAGAGAAACCTCAAAAGTTAAGGGCCACCTGGCTCCTGGGATTCATCCAGCCCTGTGTTAAGTTAATGTTAGAGCTTATGGACTGCATACTTGTTCCAGATCAGTGACTCAAAGGGGCTGATTTATAAATCTTCTACCCAGCACATAGCTGGGCGAATGCCCTTCGAGCAGCTGTACCGCAACTAGATGGCACTGAGGAACATAGGGAATTCCAATGTGCCCCGGCCTCATCTAGTGGTGGTAGTCCCATGCAAATGGCACTTGCCCAGCTCTATGCTGAGTGAAAGATTTATGAATCAACCCCAAAGTGTTGCATCATTTCAATCAGCAGTACAAAGCAGCCGTTTCAAAAGCAGGTCCGCAATGACAGCCGGCATATTCTTCTCAGTGGAGATTTCCTTTAAGGGGGCTTCTGTCTTCCCCATATTTAACCAGTTCTGTGACTACAAAACCAAACCACTGTCAGTTTAAGAAAAATAAGACGCGCAATTCATCCAGACCATACACAGAGTGATGATTGCAGCTGAATGTGTGCAAGGCTGGCCATACACCTGTCAATGATTTTTCGTTTAACCCGCGGGCTGAAGGAAAAAAATTGACGCAATTCCTCAATCGACACAAACAGCGTGACGATCGAGAAATCGCAACTGGCACTTGTTCAATACCCAATCAGAGCGGGCAGCTCATTGGCTTCCGGCTCTGATTGTACGAAGATTTTCCAGCTATCTCCTTCGATCAGCTGATCGAGGAATGCCGTCTGAAAGGGAGCCGACAGCCCCACATACTGTGAATTTAGTCCCTTACATTCAGCCAGTGTATGGGCACCTTTAGGGTTTATGTTGATGGGCATTTTCCAATTCAATGCACACAGCTGCATTTGACCTGCGTCACCCGCAGTTCAGATGCATTTCAATAGGACCTGCTGTGTCCAAAGAAATGCAGCACACAACCAAGTAGGTCATAAACGGCCACTAAACTGCAGTGTGTACTGCTCCTTTAAACTCGATGGCATTTTGCAGACCTTTGTAAGATAATATCTGTCATTGAAAGTCCTTACAGTGTTCCGTGATCCAAAGCAGAGCTGGATCATCTACCGGGCAACTAGGCAGGTACATAGGGGCCCAGAGGGGCCAGGGGGCCAAGTTACAACCATCATGTTCCTGCAATAAACCTAGGGATAGTGCAATTGGTTAAAGTGGTGCACCTGCCTGTCATTTCACAAGGGAGGATGGACTGGTAGCTGGTGTCTAAGGACCGCTGATGTCCTTGCGTCTTATTCAGCTCCATTGACCTGCATTTGACGTGAGGACACCAAGAAGAATTCCATCATCAGGAGTGGAGGGGGAGAGGCGAGTGCTGACCGCCGTGGGAGTAGGAACCAAGTAAGTAAAACGGCTTTACTTGAGTCCCCCGGACATAGCAAGCAGTTAACCCTTGCAGTGCAGGGGTAGCCCCACTGTAAGCAAAAGTTTTTACTTTGCCCGGAGGTATTTTTCTAATCCATTTCTAATCCCAAGAGTTCTGTTACATATACACATGCTGGAGTATTTAGTTGCCAGCTAGTCATAAAGGGTCCTATTTATTATATCATTTGAAACAAGAACTGCATGTGTTGTTCAGGCCAATGAATTGGCTTCAAACCTTGGACTGGAAGGTGCATGGAGTGAGTTTGATCAGTGTGTCTTGTTATTTGTCTCCGGAATTAGAGACTCATTCACCCGAGGTGTATCACTAACATGATGTTTTCTTATCTTTTCACAGATACATTATTTCAGTTAAAGGTGAGTAGACATTGTTATTAATTGTTACATTTTCCAGACTCACAAATGTATAGTCCCAGTGATGGCATCAATCATCAGCCAAAATTCCGCCTTTAGTTGGAGTTAGATCTAACTGCCCCTTAAAGTAGAATTAAACCCTCAGTTTTTTTGTGTGTATATCTATTGCTAGCAAGCAGTAGATATTTGCAAGAACAACAAAAAAAGTTACCAAAAAGGTAAAAACGTACCTGTGCCCTCCTGTCAGAAGATCTGAAGATTCTCGGGCAGCTGCAAAGGATGATGGGGCGGGCACATGTGCAGTGGAGATCTTCGGCCGGGAGACGAAAAAGACACAGGGTAAGTCAATGCAGGCAGCCCGGCAGCGTGCACCCGCACAGACTCCGTGGGGCACAGAAGACGTTGCAGCAGTCAGTGCTGGATCAGAGACCGGCACCAGCGCTGGTACCCTAAATATGGATGTGGCAATTGGTGAGGATACTCTCCGCACACCTTTCAGCAGTCCCGGCCAGTAGACAAAGATGGTGCTTGTAGTAACTCCACGGATGGCACCGTGCAAAATACACAATTGGAAGAATAGGTCACCAGCACTCCAAATATTTAAAATGAATAAGTCCTTTTTATTGGACAAAAGTGTCACAGAGATCAAAAAAGAGCCGACGTTTCGGGGCCGCGCATGGTCCCTTCCTCAAGGCAAGAGATGTGACAATGTGATAACATCCACATACTACATATATACCCCACGTTGTTAATTCATTAGTAGTAAACACACTCCCAGTGATGTCAGAACGGCGGGAAAAACGCCATATTTTAAAATACATAGTCTCATTAAAAATCATAATATACATAAACGTCCAGATTACTTACTGAATGCTCCCCATAGTCCTGCGGTCAGAATCGGTGCTGTGGCCGTGTGTCATCCGTCATAAAGGTACTCTGTATATGACCTCCGTAGCATTACATTCATATGTCCAATAGTGTGCACAGCGTCGCCTAGTATCGGCGCGTACAATACGCGTCATTCGTAACCATGGTGATCGGAAGATACAACTCTCCTCTATCATATTGCGCATGTGCCAACCTGTACAAGGATTCAAATGCGGAGGAAACCAGCATATAACAACTATACTGGTGTCAATGTCACACAGGCAGAGCACATCAGGCTATGGGAACAGAAGACATGATGTTTTAGGAATAAGACATATATAAATAAAGTATAATGAAACAAATCATTTTTCACCAGCAATATACAAAAGACAAATACATGAACAAAAGAAAAAAAAAAAAAGAAAAGAAAAACTCAGACAAATACAGAATCACTATAGACACACGGGGAAGGAGGAAGACATAGGAAAACAAGACATAGGAAAATCTCTTGCCTTGAGGAAGGGACCCTGCGCGGCCCCGAAACGTCGGCTCTTTTTTGATCTCTGTGACACTTTTGTCCAATAAAAAGGACTTATTCATTTTAAATATTTGGAGTGCTGGTGACCTATTCTTCCAACTAAATATGGATGTAACATGAAAGATGGTTACAAAGGTCAACTTAAGTTTTAAAGGTATGCGAAGGCTACACGTTGAGGATACGATCGGAAAGGTAATGGTATAAACGGCAGCATATAAAATATAACAGGAGAGCTCTGAATATTGTAGAATATATTAGTTTATTAATGTTTACTGGCTGATAGAGGTCCTGGCACTGGACAGATTTATTACTGCAGATAAAAATGGTGCGTCTCTAATGTGTAATTCATCATCTGCCCCTCGTCAACTCCTCCCATGCTCACCTCCAGGACTTCTCTAGAGTCTCTCCTATCCTTTGGAACTCCTTACCCCAACCTGTCCATCTGTCTCCTACCCTGTCTTAGGCGATCCCTGAAGACTCATCTCTTCAGGAAAGCCTATTTCACATCAACCTAACCACTGAACTATCTCTTTCTCAAATAGATCATCCCCACACAGCTACCTCCTCTTGTATCACTTGCCCCTCCCTTTTAGATTGCAAGCTCTCAGGGGCAGGGCCCTCCTTACCATCTTGTCTTGTAAGTGTAATGTCTTTCTTGTATTGTAAAGCTCTGCGCAAACTGTTGGCGCTACATAAATCCTGTATAATAATCTGCCTCTTTACAGCGTCAACAGTTTGACAACAAATAGAATACAACGTGGTTGTCCTAGCATTGCATTAAAAAGAAGTGGTGTAAAGGTGCGCTCCCCTTTAACCTGCCATTGTCTTCAGTTCACAGCCAAGCAGCTGGAGAAACTCGCCAAGAAAGCGGAGAAGGATTCCAACACAGAGAATGCCAAAGTGAAAAAGGTGATGATTGCTGTGTGGAAAGTACAAGCCCCTTGTATAAAGTGTCTGTAAACAAATAAGTCAAGGCAACGGGACTTGCTGTATTTTTCTTGAAGACGTTTCACTGGTCATCCAACCAGCTTTCTCAATTCAGAACGACTTGTACAAAAATTCTCTGGGAATAAATATTCTGGAACTTATTTTTTTTACCTATATACCATGACCTGGATGAATGAAAACCTTCAGACTCTCGTATAAAGGTGTCTGTGTTGTCCATAGCAGCCCGTCTTTGTCTCACCTTTTTTATTTTTAAATGTTTCAACTAAACTGCAGGCTGGCTGCCAAAGACACGACTGGAATACATGCATGGGAACTGTTCCTGCCTGCCAAAAGATTTCCCGCAGTAAATACTTCGCTGTGCCTGCATAGTACAAGTCATTTCTAAAATGCAGGTTGTGGTGTAGGTCCCTGCATAGAGCACTCTGTGATAAGGTGGCAGTCATGTGACCAGGCCATCTTCCTCTAGGCACTTTTTTTCCCCTTCATTGATAAAATGAACAGGGCTTAGCATGCTTTGGAGATTCTGAAACCAAGGGCACGAGTCCGTACATAGCTGTATTGTAAAATTCTGTGTTCAGTCAGCTAATGGGAAAAACTGTCATAGGCTGCAAAATAATGATGGGCCCTGTGTAAGAAGATAACAGAACAAAAAATTGTCTGCATTGCCCTTTGCAGTTCATGAAGGAGGAATCCGGATGTTTAAGAGGCAGGTTATAAGTTAAAGTAGTATTAAGGTCTGGGCTTTTTATTACCTTAATGCATTAGGGTAAGAACTGCCCGGCACCTTTTTTCCTCCCCCAGCCACCCCTGCTGCGGGGACCCACTACAAAACAAGGAATTAAAAACTTTTAAAGAAAAACAGCAACAGCCGCCAGCAAAGGTGGGTCTCCTTGTAGGAAACATTTAAAAGAAAAGAGAGGCTTTAATATCACTTTAATCATTTTTGTGCTGTTTGAATTTTTATATTAGCTCTTCGCTGTGCTGGTATTTACAGCCGCTGTTTTCTTGTTGGGATTTCTGCTCAGGGGCAGAGATAAGAGCGTGTTACACGTCATTCTAGTACTGCATGCATCTAAAGAATTTCATATGTCATCTGAATGTGTTTTTAAAGCAAAAGTTTATTTTACAGTTTACAGTATCTGTGCGCATGATCATCTGATACGCTGAACTGTGGGGAGATAAAGTTAGGTGTTGTAAAAAAAAAAAGTCAGGTTATATTCTTTTAAATGCAGCAAGTTTAGATACTTGAATATCTTTTTTTTTTTTTTATCAGCATCCTGTAATCCACTACATAGTAGAACTCACACTGTGAAAAAGTAAGAGGCATCACTATGCATGTGTGTTGACGGGGAACATGCTGACAGGAGAATGAGGGAGTAGAGTTAATTAATGATTTCATCAGTGTACTGCTGCTCCTTCATTGTCCAATCAGCAGATTAGGAATGTATTCTACGTTCCAGGACCTAGCTTTGCTGCAAGACTGACTGCACCAGACAACAAATTCTTTGATAGATAAGACCATGTGTAACGTGGTTCAGCTGAATATTTATCTATTTGCCTGCAGTTCAGCTTTAAGCTGATGTTGTTGAGAAATGTCTCAAACAACCATTATGGCTTTTGTTAATACCAAACGGAAAGGCTCAGGAGGATTGGACACCAGCAGTCATTTTGTAGGAGGATCTGATGATACCTTTGACGTGGAATGGTGGCACATTGTCTCTAGAGGGACGCTATCTTGAAAATTGTTCTTACTGAAGTTGTGTGTATCTGTCCAGAGCTTTCACTGAGCATTGTTGTCATTTCTTCCTCAGGCTCTGCAGCAGAAGAATGTAGAGGTTGCCCGGGTCTATGCTGAGAATGCCATCCGGAAGAAGAACGAGGGGCTGAACTGGCTGCGGATGGCCTCAAGGGTTGATGCAGTCGCCTCTAAAGTCCAGACAGCAGTCACTATGAAAGGGGTACGTGATAAATCCTTTGCAGCAGCACACTATGTATATAATTAATTACATATTAGAATGCATTCACAAATTTTTGCCACTGCGGCATATGTCCCAGTATACCCCTTTCAGATTGTAGCTGGGGGTACGGTGGCTCAGAAAAGGATGAATGCATGATAACCGGATACATTAATGTGTGTTGTAATTGTCTGGATGAGAAAGTGCAGTGCATATGTGCAATGGTTATTAGAAAATTATGAGAAGGGGAAAAACACCTATTCTGGACACAGACACTCGTAGGAATGGGGAAATGCATCCATTGTGGACACAGACACCCATAGGAATGGGGAAATGCCTCCATTGTGGACACAGACACCCATAGAAATGGGGAAATGCCTCCATTGTGGACACAGACACCCATAGAAATGGGGAAATGCCTCCATTGTGGACACAGACACCCATAGGAATGGGGAAATGCCTCCATTGTGGACACAGACACCCAGAGAAATGGGAAAATGCCTCTATTGTGGACACAGACACCCATAGGAATGGGGAAATGCCTCCATTGTGGACACAGACACCCAGAGAAATGGGAAAATGCCTCTATTGTGGACACAGACACACATAGGAATGGGGTAATGCCTCCATTGTGGACACAGGCATTCACAGAAATGGGGAAATGCCTCTATTGGGGACACCGACACTCATAAGAATGAGGAACACAGACATACTTTAGAAATAATCTAGCATAGTGTGTCAGGATTTTACAGTTTGTTTCCATGAGGGATATATGGCATCACTTCTGTCCAGGTGATGGGTGTCGGGAGAGAAGAAGAAGAGAACCCGTCTCTATAGAAATACAGACAACATTTAGAAATACAGACAACATTTCAGACAACATTTAAAACCTATCAGCAGCTCTAACTCTTCTCTACTCCAGCCACAACTTATCTTCATTTTTTATTTTGGATAAAGTTGGGCTTTAAGGCAAAAGTTATCATCGCAGTCCTCCGCTATACCTTATACAGAGGTTGGTGAAAATCCCAGAGTGGTTTTGGGAATTGCAACCCCTACAGGATATTCACAGGTACATGGGATGATTGGAAGGCACCCATAGATATCTGGGAGTTAGTGGGAGCCTGGCCTGGCCCCCTCAGTTGACAGCTGTGATGTGCTGGGGTGGAGGTATGGCCACAAATGGCATTCATTTGAATTCTACCCGCATGCTGTGTTCTAGTCAGGGGGATCTTTATAAATGGCGTTTTTCATGGAAAGGGTTGTCATTTTACCAAACTTCCACTGGAGTGATGTGCTCAGTTTAAAACGATGAGTTTTCATAATCCTGACCTTACTCCTGTCTCTGTACCAGGTGACGAAGAACATGGCTCAGGTGACGAAGGCTCTGGACAAAGCTCTGAACTCTATGGATCTGCAGAAGGTCTCGGCTGTGATGGACAAATTCGAGCAACAGGTTCAGAATCTGGATGTACACACGTCGGTGAGTCGGGAAATAATTGTTCTTCTGTGTCCCAGCCATTATTTTCTTATTTCATATGTCCGGCTTCTGTGATACCACTATACTGATTAGACATGTCAGACCCCGAGTGTTGCCTAGTATGGCAGATTCTTCATTCAGGTACCGTATATACTCGAGTATAAGCCGAGTTTTTCAGCCCATTTTTTGTGCTGAAAAAAGTGCCCCCCTCGGCTTATACTCGAGTCAGCGTCTCGAGCTGGTCAGGTTTCTTCTTACTTACCTCGCCGAGCGTCGCGTCACTGCTGCTCCGGTGGGCGGCGCTCCGAGCAGGGTCATCTGGCAGTCTCCGGGTCCTAATTTAGGTGGCCGGAGACTGCCAGATGACCC